ATGCTGGTTGGGTGCATGGCCGAAGTAGAGTATCAGCTGTGTGCAGTCAAGCTGAGCGAGAGCACCAGGCCCTGAGTTCAAACCTCTGTACTGGCGTGCTAGCGCGCGGGCTCGCGCACGCACGCGCGCGCGCACACACACACACACACACACACACACACACACACACACACTAGAAAGGTACAAAAGATGAAAGCAATAAAGGACAAAATTTTCACAGATAGTGTAATTATAAAAATTAATAAAAAATGATCCATTAACTCATAACAACTGAATAGAAAAGAATTTTAAACTTTTTGATATGAAAGGAGTTAAAGATATTAATAATAAATTAATTATATCTTATTAAAAATAATTAGAAACCAGACTCTTGCCTGGAAACCTAGCTATTCAGGAGGCTCAGATCTGAGGATCACGGCTCCAAGGCAGCCTGGGCAAGAAAGTCTGTGATGTGAGATCCTTATCTCTAAGAAACTAATCAGAAAAAGCAAGAAACGGTGCAATTGCTCAAATGGTAGAGGGCTAACCTTGAGTATAAACTAAGCTGAGGGACAGGGCGCCCAGGCTGTTTCAATTTTCCCTGAATGTTTTTAATAATAGCACAAAATAGTACAAAATAGTACCAAAATGCATATTCTCACTAAATATTGGGCAAATGTTAATATTTCAGAGCATGTTGAATAATACCAAACTTTAAATATTTGTTTTCCTCTTAACACAAAAGGCATTGTTTTATTTCACTTGAGACAATAGATCTGACACTGACTATAAGAATTGCTTCTGAGTATACATATGTCTATAATATTCCAATTCTGCCTCATTATTTGATCCCGAAGCAAAGCTTTATTTGCAAATTAATGGCCCTATTCTCATAACTCCTAGCATTGAAAATGGTTTCTGTGCAAAGTGATCTTCACTGTTTCTATAGAGATTATCTGAAGAAAGGTATTTTTCTCCAGGGCCAGCACTCTACTTGTGCTGTCTTCAGTAATATTCATTTAATAAGGTTGTTTTTTTTTTTTTTAATTGCACTTTCTGTTCGGTAAAAACGTGATGATGGAGGACAGAGAATCCTTACCCTTAAAGAGTGGCTGTTGAGAGTGCTTCCTGGTCCAGGGATATGGTTGCTATAGCAACTCTCCTGCTCTGCCAAGGCTGCTTTTCACTGTGGGTGGAAAGAAGCTCCCCTGCCAGCCACTATGTGGGATTCTGGCAGCTGGAGAGAATACTGAAATGATATGATTCGTCTCCATATGGAAGTTCAGAGAGTTTTCTTCTAAATCCAGTAGGAACTCAAGTCAGACTCCTAGGAATAAGAGGGTTATTTGGAACATAGTCCATTAACAAGTACCTGATGAGATCAAGATTGTTTTTGTTTTCTTTGTATTAAAGTTTTGCAGAGAGGATCAGGTTTTAAACTGAATTTGTTCTAGCCTTACCTCACTGGCATACTGGCTTAGAGAAAATTGTGTTTGTCAGTAAAAACAATATAAGGAATTTAAATAGTAACATTATAGGAAGCATTGAAATAGTTTCATTTAATTTGGAGATTTTTAACTCATTTGGAAATGCATTTACCTCAGACTTGTCCATTTTCCCTTATTGGAATTTATGTCAAAATTCATTTATTGGAATTTCCTTAATGAGAATTTATATTATGTTCTAAATTTAAAAATTGCTACTCCATTAAATATATATTTAATCTTCCAATACTATGGGTTTTATTATTTCTTGAGGATATAGAGCTTAGCATAGAACATAATATTGCTTATCTAAAGCACAATAAAAGTGTGAATTAAGCACAAACTGACTCTGAATTAGAACCGCAAGTCTGCAGTGGTAGTGCGTTATAATCTCTTGATTATCATTTTATCTTCTCTGGATCTATTCTTACTATTTTTTTAATCTTTATTTAACTGTATTTTTTTAAACTTAAAGCCAAAGGAGGAGGTAACAATGCTTGATAGGAAATGTACTCATTATCTTGCCCATGTAATTGTAACCCCTCTGTACAGTATGTTCACAAAAAATAAAAATAAAAATTTAAAAAACATAAAAAATAAAAAAAGGAAATGTACTCATTATCTTGCCCATGTAATTGTAACCCCTGTATGGTATTTTCACAATAATAAGTGTAATAAATAAATAAGACCCAACAAACATAATTTGGTGTTTAGACATTCTTTTCTTATTTGAGCTTATTCTACTTGAAAGAATTTTGCTGAATATGTTTATCTGTTTTAGACATCTCAAACACGATGGCTGCAAAAGAAATCTTCCACAACTGTATCAAGTGTTTTTTTTTTTGTTTTTTTTTGTTAAGGTACTTTCAAGGTGTATTAAGTGTTTTGAGATTAGCACAGGAACCAAATCACAGAGAAGTGGGATTTGAAATTCTTTTTGAGTCAAAGGAGTTTTTCTTTGGTTTCTTTCAAATTTATCTTTAACTCATATCTTGTTAAACAATTAGCAAGAGGAGAATTTTAGATCTTTAAAGAGAATAGTTCAAAGGTTTCTCTGCCACCCTGTTAATCTCTATTTAAAACTGTGTTCAATGACATTCAAATACTACACACACTGGTCTCAACCATCTGCTTATGAAAATTTTTTTCCAACTATATGAAGTTTCAAGCTGTTATAACCTTTTCTACTTTCCCACGTGTGTGTGTGTGTGTGTGTGTGTGTGTGTGTGTGTGTCCTGAAGGCATGTTCAGGAAATGATTTTTGTTGTATGAGCAAGAGCTATAAAAGCAGGGAGGTGTTCAGATTCCCTTCATAACATCCTCTGGGCTATAATTCTCTAGAAACCAGTTCAATGAGAAATATTAAAATAGCAATCTAGCTCAATCTGTGGATATAGTCACTTCACACAGGAACTTTGCAATTATCTCTTGCCATATATATGTATATATGTTCTCTATATATGTTCTCCATATAACATATATAGAGCATAAGTATATATATCCACTTATATATGGCTGAATTTTGAAATTCAATATACTCTCAAATCTGAAACCTTTCTGAGTCTTGATACTGCCAGTAGTAAATCCCATACCTGATCTCATGTGATAGATCACAGAATGATGACATGCTAAAATATTTTATAAATTTGCCTTCAGTTGATATACTGAAATATATGTATACATAATACATAAATGATTTTGTGTTTAGATATCAGTCCTTCCTCAAGGTATCTCCTTATGTATTTGCAAATATTGCACAGCAGAATCAAGTCTGGAACATCGAACCCAAGCATTTTGAAGTAGTCATGTTCTATTCTTAAATATCTTCTAAATAAAGCATCCATATATCTAATTATGAGTGGCCTAAATTCCATAATCGCAATCCACTTTTAAACCTCAATTGTTTTTTCTGAAAAAAAATTACAGGAAAATTATTTAGCTTTGTTGGGGTGGGAGACAGGACATTGTGTTGACCAGGTGAGATTTGAACCAGAAATTTGAAAAGGAAGAAAAGTTGGAAGGAATCTCTAGTGTACGAACATGAGTTGAGAAGATAGAAGATGGAGGCAATCTCTTGGAAACTAGGATTATCTTTGCAGGTTAACTTGTAAACCTTCTTACCTGACTCATAATAGTTCATCAGTATTCCTTACTACAAAACACATGAATATTGTCACCCATGGCATTCTACTGTCTCAGACTAAATACCAAAAGCTATCTTTCAATAGAGATATATGTGATGGAACTTCAAAAAGAAAAAGTGGCTTCTTTGATCAAAAATTTTTGACAACCCTATACCAGTAGAATAATTATTCTTAATAATAGTTAAGGTGGTGTCTAGTAATGGTAAGTAACATTTATTGCAGTCATTATACTAAAAACTATTTTTTACATATGAGCTCATTTAGTCTCACAGGAACCATTATGGAAGTAATTCCCTTGTGTAATTCTCATGAACTATAGAAACAAATCAAAATTACATTATGAGTCACTATATAAAGAGCATTTAAACTAAAATGATTCCCCTTTCCATAGGCAGTAATTCAGATATTGTCTGTTCCATTCTCTTCCATGTTTACAATCTGCTGGTCAAAAACAGTCATAACTAGTATATGTCTGGGACAAGCAGAAAAGGTCAAAAGCTATGAACATATGACCAGATAAGATGATGTTAAGCGAAATGAACCCCAAGAGAGGGACACAAGTGGTTTTTTCTTTCTTGCTATTGTTTCTAACGTATTTATAAGGTACCATGTGATTTTTTTTTGATCTTTGTATGTTCCTCCACGGTATAACCCCTGTTCTCACTGTATTTGATGTTGGTGCCTGCATCTTGTATATACACTTCTCTAATTTGGGGAAGGGAAGGGAAAAAAACAACATGCTTAAATAGGGATACAGGTGGACCCATTGTAACAATGAGATGTACAAGACACTGTGTTGAAAAACGAACTTTACAATTTAGGTGCGGGTTGTGGAGGTGGTAGGGAAGGGATGGTAGGGGAAAAACAAAGGAGAGGGCAACAATGCTCCATAGGAAATGTACTCATTGCCTTGCTCATGTAACTGTAACACCTCTATACAATATTTTTACAATAATAAACATATTAAAAACAATAAGTTGAGTTTAGAAGGCATTAGTAGGTTTCAAATTGTTGAAACACACAGTCATAGAGATTCCATTGAAATAAAAAAACAAGCATAGAAAATTTATAGAGTAGCGTACATTTTAATGTGGTAAGATTATCATAGGAAATCTTGATAACAAAGGAATACCTGTGTGGATTTGAGAGTGAAAGTGGAAATTCTCAGCCATGAGTAGCATCTCCTCTTGGAGGAAGGGTTATAATATAAGGAACCTGATCATTACACCCACTAGGATGTTCTAAAATTTGATTTAAATGTTTGAACTAGTGTCCGCTGTCAATACAAACATGATTTCCTGTAATGCTGAATGGGGAAAAAAAAACTTTGTTACTTAAATCAACCCCAAATATGAAAAGTTCACTTGTTTTGTTTTCTCTTCATTTCCTACAGGGTGTTTTGAGTGCTGTATTAAATGCTTGGGAGGGATTCCCTACGCATCACTGATCGCCACCATCTTGCTCTATGCTGGGGTTGCCCTGTTCTGTGGCTGTGGTCATGAAGCACTTTCTGGAACCGTCAACATTCTGCAAACCTACTTTGAGATGGCAAGAACTGCTGGAGATACACTGGATGTTTTCACCATGTAAGTCATTCTAGTATAGCATCTCAAAGAGCCTGTGGTTGTATACTTTCCTGTGTAAATAAGTGTCTACAGTTAAGTGTAGTGATAATGTACATCAGAACAAACTCTCTCTAGCAATACAGGCACTTCACATAGGGTCAGAGGCCAAAGTAACCTGCGCTGAATCTAGAATAGAAAGACTAGAGAACAGGAGCCCTAAAAATCTAGACTGTACTATGAATTCTAGGATCACCCAATGCCCAAGCTTGTTCCGACCTTAAAAAAAAAATCCTAACTCTGGCTATAGGCATAGAATCTGACTTCCTGTGCTATGTAGAAAACAGTATGAGGATCAGGAAAGATTTTTAAAGTCTCTGGTAAAGGTATGAATCATAAGAAGATATGCAACAGTTTTAGAAGTTTCAGTTATGCTTTTCTGCTCTAAGACATAAAATTAAGACTTTTTTTTTGGTCATGGGGCTTGAACTCTGGGCCTGAATACTGTCCCTCAGCTCTTCATCTCAAGTCTAATGCTCTACCACTTGAGCCACTGCTCCACTTCTGGTTTTCTGAGTGGTTTTATTGGAGATAAGAGTGTCACGAACTTTCCTGCCAGGGCTGGCTTTGAACCACGATCCTCACATCTTAGCCTCCTGAGTAGCTAGGATTACAGGCGTGAGCCACCAGCTCCCGGCTAAGACTATATTTAAGAAAAATGGCTCCAAAGAAAAAAGAAAGACAACTCCAATTGATTGTTAGTGCATGTTTGTTGTTTCAGTTCAGTCCCTTACTACTTGTTATCAAATTAAATAAATTTATTTCCTATTATCTGTTTAGTTGTCCATGCTCATAATTGGAAAATAACTGTGTATTGTAGATTATTTTGGAGAGGGAAAACTCAACTACTATTTGTTTCAAGAACCATTAGTTTTGTTAATCATTCAACTCCTCAATTCATTATTACATTTATTTCATGGTATTATGTATTTCATGTTCCTTATTTGGTCATTTTCCTGCATACACACTTTTTCTGCAAAGAGATAATTGTAGGTTTAAACCTTGGTCTTTATCTAAATTTTCCTAATAGCTTTGCTTTTCACTCATATCTTACCAAATAAAATAAGTTGATCACACTTCAGATATATGCAGATAGGATGCTATTGTCTTGATATAATTATAACTCTCAGACAAGACTTAGTCAGCCTGCATAGGTTCCTAGGTAGAGAAAAAATGTTCTCCAAGTATAAAATAAAAATATATAATATTGCTAAATTTCTTGTATATAAGTTATAGATCAATTAACTGGAACAAGATAGTTTAATAAAGTATATTTATTATTTTATTAATTAAAGTTAGCAATGCTCTATGAAAATGAAAAAAGTGAAATTTTTAATTTCTAACAAATCCTCAACAAACAATTCTTTATTTTAGGGCCAAAGGGAACATATCCCCAGATAAAAAGCATGGCAGGAGGCTGGGAAGGTGGCTCAAGTAGTAGAGCATTAACCTTGAGCTGAAGAGCTCAGGGACAGCCCCCAGGCCCAGAGTTCAGGCCCCACAACCACCACCACCACCAACAACAACAACAAAGGCATAGCAGAATATTTGGGACCAACAATATTTATGATCATTTAAAATATGCTGAGATTTCAAACAATTGAGTAATAATTTTAATAAAAAGGAATAAGATGACTATAATTATATTCAATGTAAACAAAAGAAATATAATGAGGATAATGTTGTTAGACTTAGAAAACCTAAATATTTTTTTCAAACCCCTACTATAGTGACCAGAAGATGTGAGGATTTACAAAGAAATTATCAAAAAAGAGTCCATAAATATGAATTGCTGGAGTATCACTAATGTCACTAAAAAGGGAAATAAATAATTAGCATCAAGTTAGAAGCTGTATATTTCATGCTGCAAAATTACTGTATAAATTTATTCTAAAATTTGATTTATCCATTAAATTAAATCATTTAAGTCCCAGTGTAGTTTATTGATTTATATTAGATCAAATGTAAGGGCATACATTAAACCAAAATTTAATAACTGTCAATGTTTTTGATTCAAATGGCCATGAATCAATCTTTAAGTTTATAATGGATATTCATCATTTGGAATGCCATCTAAGTTCTCTGAGCATTTCTGGGTTATTGCTAGTTAGTTTGAAGAGTTTTAGGAAGAGGATTGCATGGTTATATTTTAATGTGAGAAAAATGACATTTTCTTGTTAGTTATAGCACAGCCTATCCTGGACAAAATATGTTCTCACTGTTCATTATTTTAAGCTACCACAGATGTCTTAAAATCTACAGATTCTCTATATTTAGTCTATATTCAAATTGCAAAATTTAGTTACAGAAGTTTAAAAGGAATCATAAACATAATAAAATGAATTCATACATCTATTGTCCAACTGTCAGATCATATATTTGAGACTTATATGTCAAACTAATACATAACAGAATGATACAATAGTTCTGGAGGCACCAAGAGACAGCTGAGAACTGATTGGAGATCACACGTGTTATAGGATACTTTTACCTTTGTTCTATCTATGAACAACTAAATGTGAAGCCAAGACAGCATGTTTGGAATAGAAAGAATACCATTTTCCTTGGGGGAAAAATCAATACCAAATTTATTTTTCTTTTAACGGCTCAAATTCCTTAAATATCTTTTACAGACCTTGTAGACATATCAAATGGAATAAATCCCTCTTTCTGCCAACAGATATATTATGAAAATATTGAAGGAAGATATGACAATAGATAGCATAGATGTCTCAGTGTGGCTAATGCCATTTGACAAATTCAAAGTTTGTAGAAAGGTTTAGAGGTGGGAGTGATTCCCTGGGCAAGGATGTATCAGAGATATTGAAAAGATGAAGAAGAAAGGGAATAGGTAAGGCGATGTGAGGCAGTGGAGATCGAAGACTATGCTTGAAGGTGATATTGCTTACTTGGAAGTAAGTATGAGAAGGTATGTGTAAGAGTGACTGAGGAGAAAAGACTTGGATCATTTTAGGAACTTACGGAGATTCTTCCTTGCTTCATCCATAGTTTGATGACTCAACCAAATCAAGTATTCTTCCATTCTATACTTAGAAAGAAAAAGAAGCTGGCTTATTGGGTGGGTGAACTAAAAGAAAATGTCTCTAGACTTGGCACTTGTACCAGTGGAGATAACTTCTCAGTTATTCTCCATAGCTGGGACCACAAATCCCCCCTGTCCTCCTCTCTTCCTCTCTGCCTCATCTTATATACCTACAAATAAACTGACAGAGACAATACCTTCAACTCTAAAGAGAAGCACATGTATTTCTTTGACATAGTTTACAATTGATTTTCATCCTTATGAAAACTGTACTTCAGAAAGGCCATGCCATTCTAAATGTCATCAGCATCCATATGAGAGACGATCTGAAATCACTAGGTTCTACAGTCCTTCTTGATGTTACCTAATAAATGATTGTCACAATGCCCTCGATAGGTGAAGACCTCCCCAGAGAGAGAGGGGGGGAGGAGAGTTAGAGAGAGAAAGAGAAAAGGAGGGAGGGAGGGAAGGAGGGAGGGAGGGAGAGAGGAGAGAGACACAGAGACACAGAGGGCAGACAGACAGAGGGACAGAAGGACAGAGGGACAGAGACAGACAGAATTTCTCAGAGATTTTGGAACCTTTGGACAGAAATTTCAGTTTTCTCTGAATGCCCTCATCTAGTTGGTTTCTAAGAGCTTTTTATCTCAAACTACAAATTTATTTTCTCAAACCCAGGTCCATTGTCAGATGCAATCTTGTCATAAAGAGTAACATCATGCCCTGCTCCTTTTAGGCAACATTACTACACTCTAAACACTCTTCTATGGGGTTAACAACTACTAAAGCTCACTCAACATTGGAAATAGTTCATAAATCTAACACTTTCCATACTCCCTGATAAGAAAAAAATGTCTACTTTGCCATCTAGACTTTCTTATCTAAGAAATTTTAGCAAAGGGTTGTTATTGAATTTCATAACTGTTATGTGACAATGTGAGAAAGAAGGAAGATAAACATTTTACCAGCAAAGTAGATTCATACAAAAAAATGTGAGGACTAGTTAGAAAATTGGGTATCAAAAGATGATCCAAACAAGTAAGACCTCAGCATCCTGAGTAACCCTTCTGAGGTCTAAGGAAAGGTCACTCTTACCTCCTATAATTTATTCAATAGCAGTGGTATTGGGCTTTGAAAAATTAAAACAAATATCCATTTATGCTATTTATTTTCAGACTAACGACATTTTAATTTCAAAAAGTCTTAACTGTGATTTCAGTTCCCTCTATTAAAATCTGGAGTTCTCCAGATCGTGATTTCTTTAATATTCCAACACAAAAAGCACCTAATATGCTCAGATAAAATAAGTTGATTGGCTTTACTCTCTAGTAACTTCATGTATGGACAAATATTTTAGTTTTCTTGTAATTCATCTTTATTCCTTGGAAGTTAATGAAATGAGTAAGTGTTAGCTGTAGTTTTATGGATGAGAATGAGAAAGGAAATCACCCTAACAAGGCTTACAGGCTGACAGGAACCATAGCAGTGTGTAGACAATCTAAACTGATCTAGAATGTTGTTAAGAGATTATTGATTAATTCTGTAAAGAAAACACAGTTCAATTTATAGTTAGAATTTATATTAGAAAACCATTTTATTTAATATGGTTTGACCTTTGAAATAATTAATCAAATGAAGTAATTCAGCCAGGCTAGTATCTGTTGTTTTTAAAGAAGAGGCCAAGTAAGAACCACACCACCCCACACCACAGGTAAAGGGTCCGTTCATTCATCATAACGGCTGGCACCAGGGCATGTTGGAACTCTACACAGCTGGGAAAGATCCTGGGAAAAAGAGGGTGACCGGCCCTGGGCTAGGCCTCATCTAGGGTAGGGGTGCTGGGAAAGATGTGGCCACATGGAATCCAGATGTGATCTCAGCGGATGCAGATGTGACCTCTTCCAGTTGTGCCACTGGGTGG